TTGAACTCCTGGCCTAAAGTGAGCCTCCCACCTTGGCCTCTCAATGTGTTGGGATTATAGGCATAAACCACCATGCCTGGCAGATTTTTTTCCTTATTATTTTAAAAGTGATTGATCTAGGGTTTACAATATGCATCTTTAACCAATCACACTTTTTCCCCAACATTACCATGCTGATTTACTTAAAAAATGTAATCTACTTTACATATTCTTCCATTTCCCCTTCCTAACCTTTGTGCTATTGTCACACATTTTACTTCCACATAAAGTAAACCTCACAGTACTATGTTATTACTTTATTAATTTAAAATGTCAATTGCCTTTTAAAGAAATTAAGAAGTGAAAAAAAGTCTTTGTATTTACCCATATATTTACCATTTCTGGGGGTCTTCATCCCTTTGGATGGATCTGAGTTTCCATCTGGAATTATGTTGGTTCTACCTAAGGAATTTCTTTTAACATTTATTATAGTGTTGAGTTTTCTGGTGGTAAATTCTTTTATATTTCTAAAAAGTCTTTAGGAAGTCTTTATCTTTCTCCTTTATATTAGAAAGATATAGAATTTCATGTTGACAGTTTATTTTTCAAGCACTTTAAAGATTTCATTTTCTTCTGACTTCCATCGTTTCTGACAAGAAGTCTGCAATCAATCTTTGTTCCTCTATATGTAACGTGTGCCTTTTTTTCTTAACCTCTGGATGCTTTTAAGAGTTTCTAACTGATGTGCAGGAATTTGATCACAATGTGCTCTGATGTGGTTTATATCGTGCTCATCCTGCTGGGTGTTCATGTTTGCATAGTTTGCATCAAATTCAGAAAAATTCAGCCACTATTTCCTCAAATATTTTTACTACCTCTCTGCTTCTCTCTTTTTTTATTCTAAGACTCCAATGACATATATGGTCACAGGTCACAGACACTCTGCATTTTTTCCCCTGCGCTTCAATTTAGATAATTTCTCTTACTAGTTTTTCAAGTTCACTTATCCTTTCTTCTGTAATGTTCACTCTGCTATTAAGCTCATCCAGTGAATTTTTTTATTTCAGATACTGTATTTTTCATTTTTTAGACTTCTAATTTGGTTCATTTATATATCTTCCATTTTCTTGTGTTCATGTTTTTCTTTAAATCACTGAGCATATTTATAACAGATCTTTTAAAATCGCTTTCTGGCTTGGCCTGGTTGCTCATGCCTCTAATACTGGCACTTTAAGAGGCTGAACTGGGAGGATTGTTTGAGCCCAAGTGTTTGAGACCAGCCTGGGCAACATAGTGAGACCATGTCCCTACAAATAATTTAAAAATTAGCTGGGTGTGGTGGCATGCACCTGTGGTACCAGCTACTCAGGAAGCTGAGGTAGGAGGATTGCTTGTGCCTAGGAGGTTGAGGTTGCAGTGAGCTCTGAATGCATCACTGTACTCCAGCCTGAGTGACAGAGTAAGACCCTGTCTCAAAAAAAAAAAAAAAATGCCTTTGCTAATTCCACCATCCCTGTTTTTCTGTGTTTATTTTGACTGAATGGTTTTCTCCCTGCTATTGTTTATAAATCACATTTTCCCAATTCTTTGCATGTCTAGTGATCTTTGGATGCTCATGACTCCAACATGGGCAGAAGTAAATCTTTTCAAATGAATGGTCTACAGCTTAAAAGACATTTATATAGAAAGTTGAGATGACAGATGCCTAGGTGCACAATAAATAATACAATGGGGTGAGAGTAGGGCAAAAGTGTTATGTATGGCTGAAGCCCAAGGGAAAAAGTAAGCCAGTTATTAAATTTCCAAACTGGAAATGAAGTTATGTAATGGGAGTCTTTATAAACTTAGTTGGGAATATGGTCAGAATAATGGGACAAAAAGGGCACACTTTTTTTTTTCTTCCAGTATGGTGTGGAGGACTGAGTATATAAGATGATGGGAGAGGCTTATTACTCAAAATATTAAACATACACATAAAAATTAAAATACCGACTAAACTCACCAAATCTTTTTGGATAATTATATATACACCTCTTTACTCCAGCTGAGAACTGTCCTGGAGGAAGAATAAAGGTTGGATGGGGAGGTGGGGAAATGAGCTAATTTTGGAATTAAGAGATTGCAAGAGGTGAGGGCAGGCAAAATGTATACGTATGTATAGGGGATTAGGAAGTGAGGATTGGACAACTATTGCCATTTTGCATGGCAAAAGGTATGTGTACAAGAACTGGAAAGTGGGAAAATCAGAATGCTGAAAAACAGAGCAGAAAGGGTTTGGTGGGACAAAGGCATTTGTCAAAATTCTCGATGAATTGCTTTTAAATTCACTGAAGACAAGAAAAGCATGAATTTGTAAAATAATAAAAATGACAGTGACAAATAACTGCAAAACTAATATTTTATTTTCTATCTTGCCAATTAATTATAGTAAATTTTCAATTCCAAAATGACTTCTGTCACTACATTACAATTATCTGGGTTACATCTCTTTGCCATCTGCTGGTGTAGTTTAAAGAAATAAAAACAGATTTTAATTTTATCCTAAGCAAAATATAATTAGAAGAATAAATCAGCATAAGAAAAAATAATCTGGAATCAATTATTAAATTTTAATTTATCTTCTATTTTTGGTGATCATGTATAATCAAGAACTCATTATGTTATATTTGAGCTTAACAATCTATTTGTAAGATGAGCTAGGGTAGGCATTATCATCATCTGTTTAAGGGAGAAAGTGAGAATTCAAAAAGTATTGGCTTATCAAAGAAACACATAGCTTTTAGGGGTTGAGCTAATTTTTAATTCAGCTTTTCTGACTCTATTGCTATAGTTTTTAACCACAATATGCTACTTTCTTTGGCAATTGGTATTCTTTCAATTTTGACTATAATGTTGGATTTTCAATACATAAAACACACAAATAGGTATTGAACAGTGATTTATATAAGAGCATAAGAAACAAAAGTTCTATACTAACAATGACCCTTTCCACCACTTCTTGTTCTGACTGCGTCATTAGGTGATGTTAAAGAGGAAAGAATGGTGGTTTTCCCAGTGGTCTCTTGACAGTGTTCATTCTTTTTTTTGTTTTGTTTTTTTAAGGACAGGGTTTCACCATATTGGTCAGGCTGGTCTCAAACTCCTAACCTCAGGTGATCCACCTGCCTCAACCTCCCAAAGTGCTGGGATTACAAGCATGAGACACCACGGCTGGTCACAGTGTTCATTCTTAAAATCTTACTTGTATTTCAAATATCTTTGCATAGCCTATTCTTTGTGCCTGAAAGTTCTTTCCTTTGCTTCTCAGCTGAGCTAATCCATTAAAATCCTTTAAAATTCAACTCAGACAATCATTTCCTTTGATGGTCCTAATATAGTTAGTTCATTTGAAATAACTAATAAATTAGCAATGGCAGATATTTCTAGAGTACTTATCATATGATAAATACTTTACTAAACACTTTATAACTATCATTCACTTAATCATTGCAATAACCCCATGAGAAAGTTATTATTATTTTCATCCTATTTCACAGAGAAGGCGAATGAAAATCAGAGAGATTTCAAAACATATCCATGTTCACCTAGCAGAAGATGGCAGGGCCAGGATTCAAAGCAAGGTTGATCAGACTCCAAAACTTACAAGATATCATCCAGAAATGTACCTAAAGCCCCTTGGAACTATTTATATTTTAGGATTTTATAATTTATTGTGTAATTTTTATTTAATAGCAATTATACTTCTGAAGAACACTGATGTTCTTCAAGCTGAACCAAGATGCTGAGATGGAAAGGCCAAATAATGGTGCTCCTTTCCTACTTAATTCAGAAGGAATTAAGTGAATGGACACAATGTTACCAAATTTAACTTTTCTTCTTAAACCCCTGAGTGCACTACCTTTTTTGTAACCTATAGTCTAACAGAGGAGAGCATAACATTTCATATGAAGTACGAATACAGCTAACGTAAGCTTAATGTTTTGTAGTATTTCACAAAAAGTATGACTTACTTGTGCTCTACAGCAGTGGTCCCCAACCTTTTTGGCACCAGGGACTGGTTTTGTGGTAGACAATTTTTCCACGGACCGGGTGGTGGCAGGGGATGGTTTCGGGATGATTCAAGCACATTACATTTACTGTGCACTTTATTTCTGTTATTATTACATTGTAATATACACTGAAATAATTACGTAACTCACCATAATGCAGAATCAGTGGGAGCCCTGAGCTTGTTTTCCTGCAACTAGACAGTCCCATCTGGGGGTGATGGGAGACAGTGATAACTGAAGTGTGCTGCTGATATCCAGTCTACTCCATAATCTCATTTTGGTTGCTGTTACTACAGAAAGCCCTGCTTCACGAAGATAGGATGTTGGAAATGGAAGCAGGCTTTTCAGTGTTTTGGAGGCAATCTCCGGATATTCTGACTTGACTTTGATCCAGAACATATGAAGATTTGAAGCTGTTTCAACATACTTTTAAGGAAACCGTCATTTGCGATCTCAAGCAGTTGGACCTCTCCTAGCACGGACAAAAGGGATTCACCTTGGCTTACCCACAAATGGGTTGCAGATCCATTCCTTCCCAGTTTTGGGGGTCTTTTGTCATTGAGAAGTAAGGCTCGAACTCTTCTGAAAGCTGAGATAGGTGATCATGTGCCAGCTAGGGGAAAGAAGGCCCTCGCTCAGTCTCTTTCAAAATCTCTGATAATGTTCGAAACGTGTCAGAAATTCCAATGTTCACTTGTCACCCCTATAATTCCAGTTTGGCTTTGAATGCAGCCCCTTTATCTGATGACTTGAACACAGTCATCATTTTCCCCTGAAGTGACAGATTGAGTTTGTCGACCAGGTTGAATATGCCACACAAGTAAGCAGGTTTTGCAACCCATTCTGTGTCACTGAAATGTGTTGCCAGTGCTGTTTTTCTAAAAGAAATCTCTGGTGTGGCTCTCATAGCTCAGAAACTCTCGCCAGTGATCTACCTTTAGGCACCCATCTCACTTCTGTGTGTAAGAGAAGACGTGTGTGCACTGCGCCCACCTCCTCACAGAGCTGTGCGAAGATATGTGAGTTAAGGGCATGTACTTTAATGTGGTTGATAATTTTGATCACATCCTGCAAAATGCTGTTAAGTTCAGGTGACATTTTTTGGCTATCTGGCATTTCTCTATGGATGACACGTGTATAGACTTGCATTGAGAAGCGACCTCTTTGATGAGAGGGATGAAACCAGAAAGCTGTCCAGCCATGGCAGCCACTCTATCCATGCATATACTGACACAAAATGACCAGTTCAGTTTTCCTGATATGTAATCATTCAAAGACTTGAATAGTTTTGCAGCTGTGGTGTTGGTTGGCAACAAAAGCTCACATAACATATCCTCATGCACATCCTCCTGAAAAATACATCACACAAAAACAAGCATTGTTGCCTTGTTGTCAATATTGGTAGACTCATCAACCTGGATTGCATACCACAGTGACTCATTAATCCACTCTAACAATTGTGCCTCAATGTCCTCTGCTATTTCATCAATTTGTCTAGTTACGGTGCCAGCTGAATGAGAAACTTGTGCCACCTTTTGAACTGCAGCCTCTCCTAAAAGTTCATGACAAATGTCCTTAGCAGCAGGCAGGATCAACTCTTCACCAACAGCAAAGGGCTTCTTAGCTTTAGCAATGTGTGCAGCCACTAACAATGATGCTTTCAGTACAGACACATTTGATGAAGCTATGGCCTTCAATGATTGCTTCTGTTCTTTGTGTTCATGTTTTTTTTTTCTTTTGATAAACTCCAAAGGCTTGTCTTTTAATGCAGGATGCTTGGTCACCATGTAGCAAAGCAGTTTTGAAGGTTTCATGGCTTTGCTGGATAGCCAGTTATCACATATTATACAAAGCAGGTTTAAAGAATGTGAAATCACCTATTGCAATGCATCTGTAATTTAAACAGGACTCTTGGTATTCTCTTTTAAATGCAGCTTTCATTTTGTTGGCAGTCTTAAAATCTTCTGCTGTCTCATCATTGGGTCTTTCCCCCTTTTCAAAGAAACTCTCCAGTGACATTTGCTTTTTACTCATTTTGGCTAGGGTTAGCTTGTGGGCTTACCAAAACTGTAAATGAGATAAGTATGCAGCATGGGAGAGGCACAAACAGGAGTGGCAAGTAAAATAATGGGTGGGCCATGTGTGGGCTACAATAACTGTCAGATTCTGACTTAAAGCCTGCTACCAGATGCAGCTGTACAATTGAAGTACATCAACTCGCTTGCCACTATAAAGTTAAGCCTGACACCAGATGCAGCTAAATTGGCATTTGCCACTCACTGATAGGGTTCTGACATGAGTCTGCAAAGCAATTGATTTATTATGGTCTCTGTGCAGTCAAACCTCTCTGCTAATGTTAATCTGTATTTGTATTTGCATCTGCTCCCTGGTGCTAGCCTCACTGCCTCAGCTCCACCTTAGATCATCAGGCATTAGATTCTTATAAGGATGCACAACCTAGATCCCTTGCATGTGCATTTCACAATAGGGTTCATGCTCCTATGAGAATCTAAAGCTACCACGGATCTGACAGGAGGTGGAGCTCAAGAGGTAATGTGAGCATTGGGGAGTGGCTCTAAATACAGATGAAGCTTTGCCCACTTGCCTGCCACTCACCTCCTGCTTTGCAGCCTGGTTCCTAACAGGCCACAGATCAGAACTGGTCTGTGGCGCAGGGGTTGAGGACCCCCGCTTTATAGCCTTAATGAGTTTGAAAAAGTGTTCTAAAGAGCAGTTTATTGTAACATAACACATTTGAAATGAATTCAAATAAATCAGAACTCCCAATAAATGTGATTGGATTACATTCTCTAGTAAAAAGAAAAAGAGTGTTGCTGTTATAAAAATTTAATAAATAAAACAAGCCAACAAACGACTAAAATCCAGGCATGTGCTATTTATGAGACACACCTAAGGGTGAAAATAAAAAAGTCAGGAAAACATACACAACACAAATAACAACTAAAATAAACCTGGATAGCTTTATCAAAATCTGCCAAAAAACAAAAAAAGCTTAGGGCAGAGACAGATAAAATATGGTAACTAGCTTTAACCAAACGGTTACATTCATCAGCACTACAGGAAAGGAGAGAAAAGGTTAAACTCAGCAGGAAAATGTAATAATTCAAGACTAAATATAACTAATACAATAGCTGCAAAATACATAAAACCAAAATAAATATAACAACAACAAGAAATTGTCAAATACACCATCATGGTAGGTGATGTTAATGGAATTCCCTAGGTAAGCGATACATCAAGCAGACAGAAAGTCAGCCTAGCTTAATGAATATATATAAAAAGCCACAGCTGAACACCCATCAAATAAGAAATATGGCAAGAAGGAAGCAATTTGCAGTGGAAGCAGAAGCTTGAATGGATGCAGGGGTGTAAAGGAGGCCGACTGGCAGGGTTGTGAAGGAGCAGGTGCTATACTCACAGAAAAAGCCTGCAAATAGAGAAAGGAGAGAGAGTTATGGAGCAAACATGAGGATGACAGTCAGGCCAAGGTAATGATGGAGCACTGGGGTAAAAATTCAAGAATGATCCATTGCCTAGGAATCTTCCCTGGTTCCTGGTCTTCCTGAGACCTGGCTGTTAAGCTAATGCTGGTTCACCTTACAAACAAGTATACATTCTTGAAGTAACTGGAAGGATCCTCTGCTCATTATATTCCAAAGAGCTAGCCTGTTAAATAATGCAGTTTCCTGGTTGCAGCTGTCAGTAGGGTTAAAGTTCTGCTGGAACCAGGGTCCCTACGTAGACATTCTACACAGCTGCTATTCTTGGGCAACTGTGGCATGCAAGCATTCCCTCATACTCTCCACAGATGTTCACTGAGTAACTACTTTGAGCAAGGTACTGTGGTAGTTTGAAAGAGCTTAAAAAAAACATTTTAGATAATATTCTGGGGTTTTTTTTGAGACGGAGTTTTGTGTTTGCCCAGACTGGAATGCAGTGGCATGATCTTGGCTCACTGCAACCTCTGCCTCCTGGGTTCAAGTGATTCTCCTGTCTCAGCCTCCTGAGTAGCTGGGATTACAGGTGTGTGCCACCGTGCCTGGCTAATTATTTGTATTTTTAATAGAGACGGGGTTTCACCATGTTGGCCAGGCTGGTCTCGAACTCCTGACCCCAGGTGATCCGCCTACCTTGGCATCCCAAAGTGCTGGGATTACAAGGGTGAGCCACTGCACCCAGCCAATATTCTATTTTCTTTATAGTCTTCACAGAATACCAAAGAACTGCTTATGATTTTCATTGAGACAGCCTGAAGGACTTTAAAATTGAGTTTCTAAAAAAATTTTTGGCCGAGTATTTGGTTGAAAACTTAGGTAACTAAAAATGTACATTTGTATTTCTCACTTCAAAATGAATACTTCTAATTCAGAAAAAACAAATATTATTGCTATATTAGTGTATGAATTATAACTTTTCATACTGGTGGTAAAAATCCAGATGTAAAATACAATTTATGAAGGGCACTTTAAAAACTGTTGCATGGGCTGGGCGTGGTGGCTCATGCCTGTAATCCCAGAATTTTGGGAGGCTGACGCGGGCGGATCACGAGGTCAGGAGATTGAGACCATCCTGGCCAACATGGTGAAATCCCCTCTCTGATAAAAATACATACACACACAGACACAAAATTAGCCAGCGTGGTGGCACATGCCTATAGTCCCAGCTACTCAGGAGGCTGAGGCGGGGGAATTGCTTGAACCTGGGTGTTAGAGGATGCTGTGAGCCGAGATTGTGCCACTGCACTACAGCCTGGGCAATAGAGCAGCACTCCATATAAAAAAATCAACAACAACAACAAACAACAACAACAACAAAAAACAACTGTTGCACAAACTACTTTCTGCAATACTACAGATTGTGTTTGAAGATATTTTTGACCATGGGAGACAGGCCAGTACCTAATACGTGATGTATTTGGGAAACAAACCAAAAAACTAAATGAAAACAAAACACCCTGAAACAAAACCCTCCAAACCCAAAGCAAAAACAAAACTCTCAACTTTTATTTAGAAAACCATATACATATAGAGATAATTTGTAGCAGCCTTCTGCATGTATACAAGAAATACCCCAAGTCAAACTAGTGATATAAAAATCATGAAGAAGGTAAAGCGAGGCAGATAGAAATATTTTAAATGCTCATATGAAGAATTTAAGGTCTCAAAGAAGTGTCTTCAATCAGTTGTCACAGGAGGAACCTTATACAACTCAAAATCTTATCATTGAAGGTCATACGACAAACAGGTATGATCACTATGTAAAAGGTACTAAAAAGTGATTAAAATTTCATTCAATGAAGCAAATCTTGATTTAGTATGATAACTATGGAAGAAACTGGAATAATCTCAGATTCTTTTCGTGAGGCTCAGTCCATTCTCAGCATATATTTGTTACAATTACCATATTCCAGACTCTGTGTGAAGTTCTGGAGATAGTCAGACCCTGTCCTCACTTAGCTTACAGTTTAGCTTTAACATTGTATGATCACTGTCAGAATAGAGGAAGCGGCAGCCACTTAACTAGGAGACAACTGTCCTGGGCAAAACTCAGATAATTCGAGAACTGATATCCACTGGACCGCATCATGTGACACAATGTGTCAAGAGTGAAGGCTCTGTATTACCATTACCGCAGCAGAGAGACTGTATAACCAGGTATGATGCCACTTATAAATTGATACATTTATCTGTGCCAGTCATGATTCCCCTTGGTCAGGAATAACTCTAACCCCATTCTCTTAAAGGTTAATTTCTTCAAATTGCTACAGTATTTTGTCACATTCACACTACTTCATAGTTCCTGCCTTTATCAGTAAGTCACTTTTTCTCTACCCCTGGGGCAGATTAAAATTTATGGGGAATTTAAAAAACAAAAATTGATGCCTGGGCTCCCTCCCTGGAAAGTCTGGTTTAACTGATTCTAAATGGCAACCAGGATTGAGAATCTTTCTCTTCCACATTTCCACAATATTTTAGCCAGAGTCCTAAAATTCTCCTTTAACTCTTACACTATTAGTTTCTTTGCTGCAGAACTCTCTTTTTAACCAGTATCTTCACATTTTTTTCTTTGAACTCTCTTGTTTAAAATCTTAAGGAGTGTCCAACAGGAAAGTGGACAAAGCACCTGTGGACAGGCAACTCACCAAAGAAATACAAATAACATCTGAAAAACATTCAATATTCCTCTTGTAATCAAACGTGAAAACGTTTATCATCTCTCAGCTAGTAATGTGTTGGTTAAAAGTCAAGGAAATAGGCTTTTTCACACACTGTGAGTAGGAGTGTATTTCATAAGAACGTTTATGAAGGCAAATTGGAAATCTATTTCAAATATTTAAAAAATGTTATGTTCAGCCAGGTATGGTGGCTCATGTCTGTAATCCCTGCACTTTGAGAGGCCAAGGTGGGCAGATAGCTTGAGGTCAGGCATTTGAGAGCAGCCTCAGCAACATGACAAGACCTTGTCTCAACCAAAAATAAAATATAAAAATTAGCTGGGCATGGTGGCATGCACCTGTAGTCCCAGCTACTTGGGAGGCTGATATGGGAGGATCAATTGAGTCTGGAAGGTCAAGGCTGCAGTGAGCTGCAATTGCAACACTGCATTCCGGCCTGGGTAACAGAATGAGACCTTGACTCAAAACAAAACAAAAGCAAAAATGTTATTTCCTTTGACCTAGAAATTCCATCTCTAGGAATTTACCTAAGGAAACAGACATGAGTCCAAAAGATAAGTGTTCAAAGAATTTCATCATGGCAAACAAAAAAACTTAATATATATTCAGGGCACTGCATCAACAAGTTTTTGTACCTCTAAGTAACAGAGTATTAAATGGCCACAAAAATGCTGCTGCTAAGATTGAGGGTGGCAGAGAAGGTATGAGGTTTACTGAGCTCCTTGCCTGTATAGACACACTCTTCCTCTTGCACAAACATATACTTAGACATGACAAATATACATGCATATAGGGATGCATAATTGCAGAGGAGGACATAAAAGAGGGACTACAAACAGGGCTAAAATTAGGAGACAAAACAAAAAAAGAGTGTAAGCCGAAACAGGAAAAGGAGGCTTGGTGAGTAAGATGAAGAATAGGCACTTTATAAAGAAGATGAAAGAAACTAAAAGGAAAAGCACTGTTGCAGCTATGGAAAACAATATGGTGGTTCATCAGAAAAATCAGACATAGAATTATTATATGATCCAGCAATCTCACTTTTGGGTATATACCCAAAAGAACTGAAAACAGGGGCTCAAACAGATATTTGTACACACATGTTAATAGCAGCATTGTTCATAATAGCCCAAAGGTAGAAGCAACCCAAATGTCCATTGATAGATGAACAGATAAACAAAATGTGTAATGTACATAAATGGAATGTTTTTCAGTTCGTAAAACGAACAAAATTCTGAAACATGCTACAATATGGATAAGCTTTGAAAACATTATGCTTAAGTGAAATAAGCCAGTCACAAAGACTCCACTATTATGAGATACTTTGACTCCAATTATACATATGGTAGACTGTTCCACAGGTTACAGATGCTCTGTACCTTTTCCCTCTATGCTTAAATTTAGATAATCTCTATTACTATGTCTTCAAGTTCACTTACCCTTTCTTGCGGACATTATGCTAAGTGAAATAAGTAAGTTACATAAGGGCAAACACTGCATGATTCCACTTGTATAATGTACCTAAAGTAGTCAAATTCTTAGGGATAGAAAGTAGAATGGTGGCTGCCAGGGGCTGAGGGGAGAAAGGAAGGAATAGGGAGTTATTGTTTAATAAGGACATAATTTCTGTTTAGGAAGATGAAAAACGTTTTAAAGATGATTGGTGGTGATGTCTGTACAAAACTGTTGGTACACTTAATGCCAATGAACTGTAAATTATATACTATGCATATATAATAAAAGTGGCAGTCCAGAAAAAAATTCTAAAAGACAATAATATTAAGTACTCTGACACTGATAGTTGTAATATTAGCTTTGTTTTCTTTTTCAAGGAAATCAGTCCCTATTAGCGCTTTTGAACACTTTGTCTCTTGCAAATCCAGTACATTTCAAACTTCTGAAATGCTACTCCAAAGTTCACAATAACACAATGTGTTAGTATTTCAGAGCCAAAAGATAAAAACTTTAATCCTGGCTCCAATCTTAATTAGGTATTAGTTGGGGAAAATCAGTTAATTCTTTCCAGACTTGTGCTTCCTATATGTAAAATGAGCAGGGTGGTCATTTCAACACAGAAATGAACTCAAGTTTCTTTGCTACTCTGATACTCTCTAGTCCCACAGTATCTAAGTTCCCTGACAACCCTTTACACATTATAAATATCTTTGTTACACAGTGGTTGAGCTTTGTGTAGTGCTTTTTTTTCCCCCTAAGAATGCTGTATTGGTATATGGAAGATTCTATTTTGTATTTTAACATTCTATTTTATATCTTCTATCATTTCAATGTCTTCAGTTAATAGCTGTGAATTTTTTGAGGTAAATTTGTCATTATCTTCTCCATTACAATTATGAAAGAGTATCTGTATTTTTTCTTAAATCTCAAAACCAAATTAGAATTTTTTTCCCCCAGAGAGAATGTGACTGTTAATTATTTGATACCATTTATTTTGATTTTTAAGAAATATAACCTCCACCCCTCCCAATAAAAGCAGTAGGCATGGAATGCTTTTGTTCCGTAAGACAGGATTCTTTCCAAGGATTCTACCTTCTAGGTCTTGTCAATGTGGGCAAGTAAAGTTTCAACGTTAGTGTTTCCTTATAAAAGACCAGAGACACCGGGCATGGTGGCTCATGCCTGTAATCCCAGCACTTTGTGGATCATGAGGTCAGGAGTTCAAGACCAGCCTGGACAACATGGTGAAGCCCCATCTCTACTAAAAATACAAAAATTAGCTGGGTGTGGTGACACATGCCTATAATCCCAGCTACCTGGGAGGTTGAGGCAGGAGAATCGCTTGAACCTGGGAGGTGGAGGTTGCAGCAAGCTGAGATTGCACCATTCCACTCCAGCCTGGATGACAGAGCGAGACTCTGTTAAAAAGACTAGAGAGTGAATGCTTGATTCATGCCAACTTTACCAAACAGTTGTTTCCAACTATTTTACGCCCTAAATATTTCTTTAAGCTTTTTCCTCTTTTTGATTCCCAGCGTTACTGTCCTAGTTCAAGCCATCATCGACATTTGTGAGTACTACTGCTTTACCTTTCAAATGGGTCTTCCTGTCTTAAGAAGAATGCCTTTGATGCTTTCAAAACATTGGCTTCTTTTAAATCTGCCATTAGCACTAAGTGAACTATGTGAAATATAAACCTGGCTGTCATTCTTGTACTTTGGGCCCTTCACTGATTCCCAGGGACTACAGAAGAAAACCTAAGCACCTTAGCATGGTTGATTAGGCCTTTCATCGCCACTGATTCTTGATGTTCTAAGACCCAAGGGTTGCTGCCTCAGCATACACTATGCAAACACATCCATGATTTTGCTTCTGTGTAATCCTTCCCCTTTTTATTCTGGGTTAGCAGCAGCTTATTTTTAATGATTTGGCTCAGGAGGCATCTCTTCCACGAAGTTTTTCCTGTTCTCTCATATGCCCTACAGGCACTTACTGCATCATACTATAATAATAATCTCTTTCTGTGTCTGCCTTCTTCTTTGGACTCTAAATTCCCTAAAAGCAGTGCTATGGTTCGAATGTTTGTTCCCTCCTAAACTCACGTTGAAATTTAACTGCCAATGAAATGGTTGGGAGGTGAGACTTTTGAGTGGAGTTTAGGTCATGAGAGCTCTGTCCTCATGAATGGATTAATGTCATTATCATGGGAGTGGGTTTGTTATCAAGGGAGTGAGTTCCTAATAAAAGGACAAGTTTGGCCCCGTTTTATCTCTGTCTCTCTCTCTCTCTTCCCCCCACCTGCTTTGTTTTTCTACCATTTCTATATTATTGGAATAATACAGCTATCTCACCAGATGCCCTTGATCTTGGACTACCCAGCCTGCAGAACCATGAGCCAATACGTTTCTGTTCATTACAAATTATCCAGTTGTAAAGGGGATATTACTACTGACCCCATATAAATACAAGTAACCAACAGAGAATATTATAAACACCTCATACCTTCCGAAATTGAATACATAATAAATAGCCTACCAACCAAAAAAAGGCCAGGAGCAGATGAATTCACAGCCAAATTCTACCAGATGTACAAAGAAGGGCTAGTACTATTCCTACTGAAACTATTCCAAAAAACTGAGGAGGAGGGACTCCTCCCTAACTCATTCTATGAGGCCAGCATCACTCTGATACCAAAACGTAGCAAGAACACAAGAAAAAAAAGAAAGAAAACTTCGGTCCAACACCCTTGATGAACATGGATGCAAAAATGCTCTACGAAATACTGGAAAATTGAATCCAGCAGCACATCAAAAAGCTAATCCACCATGATCAAGTAGACCTTTCCCCAGGATGCAAGGTTGGTTAGACATATGCAAATCAGTTAACTGTGATTCATCACATAAACAGAACTAAAGGCAAAAGCCACATGATTATCTCAATAGCTACAGAAAAGGCTTTCCATAAAATGCAACACTGCTTCATGTTAAAAACTCTCAATCAACCAGATATTGAAGGACCATATCTCAAAATAATAAGAACCATCTATGACAAACCCACAGCTAACATCATACTGAATGGAAGAAAGCTGGAAGCATTTCCTTTGAAAACCAGCACAAGACAAGGATGCCTCCTCTTACCACTCCTATTCAACAAAGTATTAGAAGTCCTTGCCAGAGTAACCAGGCTAGAGAAAGAAATAAAGGGCATCCAAATAGGACGAGAGAAAGTCAAACTATCCCTGTTTGTAGATGACATGATTTTCTATCTAGGAAACCCCATACTCTTGGCTCAAAAGCTCCTTAAGGTGATAAACAACTTCAGCAAAGTATCAGGATACAAAATCAACATATAAAAATCACTAGCATTTCTATACACCAACAGTCAAGCCGAAAGCCATATTAAGAATGCAATCCCATCCACAATTGCCACACAAAAAAATACAATACCTAGAAACACAGCTATCCGGGGAGATGAAAAATCTCTACAATGAGAACTACAAAACACTGATTGAAGAAATCTAGATAACACAAACATATAATAAAAATTCCACGCTCATGGATAGGAAGAATCAATATCATTAAAATGGCCATACTGCCCAAAACAATTTATAGATTCAATGCAATTGTTACTAAGCTACTATGACATTCATCACAGAACTAGAAAAAGGAATTTTAAAATTCAAACAGGGCTAGGCACAGTGGTTCACACCTGTGATCCCAGCACTCTGGGGGGCTGAGGTTGGTAGTGTTGCTTCAGCCCAGGACTTTGAGACCAGCCTGAGTAATAAGGCAAAACCTTGTCTTTACAAAAACAAACAAACAAAAACAAACAAACAGAAATTAGCTGGGCATGATGGTGTGTGCCTACGGTTCCAGCTACTTGGAAGGTTAAGGAAGGGGAATTGCTGGAGCCTGAAAGTCAAGGCTGCAGTAAGCTGTGATCACACTGTTGCACTCCAGCCTGGGTGAAAGAGCAAGACCCTGTCTCAAGAAAAATAAGGCTGGTGCAGTGAGTCACGCCATAATCCCAGCACTTTGGGAGGCCAAGGGTGGCAGATCACCTGAGGTCAGGAGTTTGAGACCAGCCTGACCCCATCTCTATTCAAAATACAAAAATTAGCCAGGTGTGGGGGAGCAGGCCTGGAGTCCCAGCTACTGGGGAGGCTGAGGCAGGAGAATTGCTTGAACCTGGGAGGCAGAGGTTGCAGTGAGCCAAGATTCTGCCACTGCACTCCAGCCTGGGTAACAGAGTGAAACTCTGTCTCAAAAAATAAATAAATAAAAATAAAATAAAATAAACATTCATATGGAACCAAAAAAGTGCCCAAATAGCCAAGGCAATCCTAAGAAAAAAGAATAAAGTTGGAGGCATCACAGTACCTGACTTCAAACTATACTTCAGGGCTACAGTAAACAAAACAGCATGGTACTGGTACAAAAACAGACACATAGACCAATGGAACAGAAGAAAGAGCACCAAAAATAATGTCACACACCTACAACCATCTGATCTTTGATAAAACTGACAAAAACAAACAATGGAGAAACAACTCCCTATTCATTAAGTGGTGCTGGAATAACTGGCTAGCCATGTGCAGAAGACTGAAACTGGACCCTTTTCTTACACCATATACAAAAATCAACTCAAAATGAATTAAAGACAAATATAAAACCTGAAACTACAAAAACCCTGGAAGACAACCTATGCAATAGCATTCTGGAATAGAACAGACAAAAATTTCACAACAAAAATGCCAAAAAGCAATTGCAACAAAAGCAAAAATTGACAAATGAGAGCTAATGAAGCCAAAGAAAACTAAACAGCTTCTGTACAGCAAAAAAACAACAAAAAAACCTATTGAGTAAACAGAAAACCTATAGAATAGGAGAAAATTTTTGCAAACTATGCATCCGACAAAGGTTTAATATCTAGCACCTAAAAGGAACTTAAACAAATCTACAAGAAAAAAAAAAACCCATTAAAAAGTATGCAAAGAACATGAACAAACGCTTTTAAAAAGAAGACATACATGTGGCCAATAAGCATATGAAAAAAAAGTTCAACATCACTGATCATTAAACAAATACAAATCAAAACCACAATGAGATACCATCTCATACCAGTCAGAATGATTATTATTAAAAAGTCAAAAATTAACAGATGCTGGCAAGGTTGTGGAGAAAAAGGAATGCTTACACACTGTTGGTGGGAGTGTAAATTAGTTCAACCATTGTGGAAATCAGAGTGGCAATTCCTCAAGAAGCTAAAAACAGAACTACCATTTGACCCAGAAATCCCATTACTGGGTATGTACCCAAAGGAATATAAATAATTCTGTAACAAAGACACATGCACGCATATGTTCATTGCGGCACTACTCACAATAGCAAAGACATGGCATCAACCTAAATACCCATCAGTGCTAGGCTGGATAAAGATAATGTGGTACATATACACTATGGAATACTATACAACTGTTAAAAAGGACAAAATCATGTCCTTTGCCGGAACAT